AAGCCTATAATCTGTTTTACATCAGTAAGTTACGTCTATAAAATTTATTAAAGAAACTCATTATGGCTCCGGTTTGAGTGCTTACCCATATGACTCACATGTAAAACTCACTCCGGTACAAAGACGCTAATTGCTTAACGAAATTATTCTCCTTTAATCTTAATGATCAGGTAGTCATAACTACATCATAAGAAAATAATTTACAACATTCAACTGCAATAACATGGAGAATCAAGTATCTATCATCCAATAAATATTCACAAATTTATGTCTACATCACAATTAATAGGAATATAGACACTAACTTTATTTCAGCCATTTATAAAGTAGTAAAAACTGCTGGGTATGGGAATATTATACTGAAAATAAGAAGTATTTGGTGTAATAAATATGCAGTGAAATTTATAAAGCTTGAAGTATATTATTGCATAACATCTGTATCATTTATAATCTTGTCCAAATGTTGCAAGGTTGACGAAGCAGCAAAAAACTTGTCAGGGAAAGTTTGTCATTAGAGGCATTATGTAATAATAATAAGCAACAGGCTTAAAATTGTTTATGTGTCAGTTTGGTGTGGGATATTGAATATCTAAAGCAAAATGTCACTCCTAACCCATTACCAGATATATACGCCTTTCTACGCCTTTTTCACCCCCTCCCTTTTTGCTTTCTCAAATGGTGAAAAAATGCCTTATTTAGGCCCTCAAACACTTGCTTTTGTTTGAGAAATGTTGTTTAAAAAATTGACCACTTTTTCGGCGCCGTCCCCCATCCAAAAGATACAGCAGGGGGTTGCCAGAAGGGGGATGTGCCCCCTTGTGTTTGAGGGGTTTGAAGTGGGGCAGAGTCCCCCTCATCGCCAAGAAAATTTTGGACTTGTGAGAGGCTAAAAATGACCCCAGGTCGATCTTAAGGTAAAGTGTAACCAATGCTGAAAAAGCCTTTGACTCTATCTCAATCCATTGAGAAGTGGCAGCACTTTGAAATCAAAATAGTGATTTTTGGCAATTTTGAGATGTCCCCTAGTTGCCATGGTAACAGGAAATTTAAGACTGAGCATGTTGTTACAAAGGCAATGGTCCAGTCAACATTTGTGCCAAGTTTGATTAGTATTGAAGCAGTTTTTATAGTTTTATAGCAATTTGAACTTGTAACGAGAGACTTTTCAATGAAAACAGCCATTTTTCACAAAATGCTCATGCGGTAATGGGTTAAGGAAGATGTTGCCATGCAAAATCTAGTCATATCATTTTCTTAAATATGATTCCTATTGACATATCATTGAGTGTGTGTAGACGAAGCAATGTCACTGTCACATATTGCTTTAAAACCATACAATTTTATCAAACTAGAATATGTTTCCTGCTGTATGAATCTTAACATGCTTCCTAGTTATTGACAATATCTGATTGTTGACATCAGCTACCTTGAACTATTGCAAATCCTTATGACATGTTTCCTAGTAATTGCCATTCTTTATGACTGTTGTCATGCTTGCAAGCTATTGCCAATCTTTATCATTGTGGCTTTACTTCCTTGCTATTGCAAATCTTCTTGACAGCTTACATGTTCCCTACCAATTGCCAAATCTTAATGCTGTTTCCTTCCTAGCTATTGCAAATCTTCATGCCTTTGACATGCTTCCTATAGCTATTGCAAATCTTTTTGACTGTTGCCATGCTAGCAAGCTATTGCAAATCTTTATCAATGTGGCTATACTCCCTTGCTTGCCAATCTTTATGACAGTTTACATGCTCCCTAGCTATAGCTAAATCTTAATGATGTTTGCTTCCTAGCTATTGCAAATCTTAATGATGTTTGCTTCCTAGCTATTGCAAATCTTAATGATGTTTGCTTCCTAGCTATTGCAAATCTTAATGCTGTTTGCTTCCTAGCTATTGCAAATCTTTATGATTGTGGCTATACTCCCTTGCTTGCCAATCTTTATGACAGTTTACATGCTCCCTAGCTATAGCTAAATCTTAATGCTGTTTGCTTCCTAGCTATTCCAAATCTTAATGATGTTTGCTTCCTAGCTATTGCAAATCTTAATGATGTTTGCTAATCCTAGCTATTGCAAATCTTTATGATTGTGGCTATACTCCCGTGCTTGCCAATCTTTATGACAGTTTACATGCTCCCTAGCTATAGCTAAATCTTAATGATGTTTGCTTCCTAGCTATTGCAAATCTTAATGATGTTTGCTTCCTAGCTATTGCAAATCTTAATGATGTTTGCTTCCTAGCTATTGCAAATCTTAATGCTGTTTGCTTCCTAGCTATTGCAAATCTGCATGACAGCTGATATGGTTCCTAGCTATTGGATTTTTTTATGACTATTGGCATACTTTGTGGCAGATGATATGCCTTATATATATATGACCATTATGTATGTTATGTTCAAAGGATTTATAAATAGCTGTTGACATGTTTAGCAGGCTTGGTATTATACACTGGGGCATAAGTTTCCTATAACATTGATATAAGTTTTTGATTATGTAATTATCCACTGGAATAAATTTGCCTTTATCATGCATTGCTGTGATGACATTATAGTCTACATTGGAGTATGTTTCCTCATGCCAAGTTGTCTGTTGCCATTCTTTATTGTCAGGACATTATAGACTAAAATGCACACTTCCTGTTGCTATGCATTATGCATTGTTCAATACTTCATACTATTTTAACCTTTTATTTCTCTCTTATGGTAATAATTTTGCTGCCATTGAATAACATGTATTCTTGCTTTTTTTTCATCTGCTCAAAGTTAACTAAAATCAATAACTGAAATAAACTTATGTCATCATGCAATCAAGCCCTGTGAATTATTTTCTATTTGAGAAAAGTTTGATTAGCATGTCCTTTCACTCAATAACAAAGCATGACACATGATTAGGTGGGTGTATGATTTTTACAGTGATAAAAAGGTGATATTTATAGACCTATGGCATTTTATCTGCAACTGGTGGATGCTTCATTTCTACATTCTGATATTGTAATCCATTTAATCAAAATATGTCAGTTTCTAATTTAAAACAGGGCAAACTTTTATAACTAAACAAAATTCAGTAAGGAAAACAGTACTGCAGTGTTCAATCTAGAATGAATTCCCAGGGGGCCTTTTTGCCCATAAACTTATCAAAAGGGGTCATTTGAGAAAAAAGGGGCCCACACTTAAAATGAACATGAAATTCAAATAAGGTATTAGACACCTTTTTATATAATACTGATATTGATAATTGTGGTAAGTTCATAAAAAAAAATCAAGATTTATTAATTTTAATAATTGACACACAGTGAAAAAGAATCACACAGTTTGTAAATATCCTGGTATATAAATATATCTCAGCTGGTAAACAGCATTTAATCACTTATTTTTGTTCAGTAATATAAACTGTCATTATCATGGAGGCAGCCAGACTGTGTGTTTAACTACATTTAGTAGATTTAAAATGCAGATTTCCTCCAGTTAACGAGCTGCACTAAACATAACTGTAGCTAAATTGCCTAATAAATGCTTTAAAAATGCATAACAATTTAACAAACCACTGAAAAAGTGAATCGTAAATTATCCTGCTAATTTGTTTTTCAAAGACACAAATGCGTTTAAGAAATATTAAGTATATATTTTCAAGTTTTATGTACGCTGATCGTTCAGACTAGCTGGTTTTAATGGTTTGAAATAATATTCTTAAACTTTAACGAAATGTTTCTAAACACTCGAAGGCAAAAAACTTATGTTATGTATTAACAATTAAACAACAATTCTCATTTAAATGTTTTATAAATTCTTTACATTTACTTATCTGTTAAACTTAAATATTAATCATGATATAAATTCTTAAACAGAACTGTATGAAGCAGTTCCAATTTACTTTAATTTTATGGTTTTATTTTTGGCCTTTTCAATTTTCATAAAAAATTGAAATGGTTAAAAAAAGTACTTATTCCATTATAATAACTGTCAAAATAATTGTGACATAAATCTTGACTATATTAAAAGAGAATGAAATAGTTCCTTATCTCAATATGCAGTTTCAAACATATTAAAATATTATCTTAAAGATTTTGTGCAACTTTTCAAAACTGAAATTACTGCTGAAATAATGTCTGAACATTTCTATAATTGTAAGTAATAAAATTTTACGACTTTAAAAAACACTCTCATAAAAGAAAGGAATTATCTTGGCAACTTTTATACAAAATGAAAACAAAAAAATTAAAATGGTCAGATCATATTTAATTGAACTCAATTTCCGTATTATTCTCAGAAGCAGATCTTTAATGATAAGCATTAGGCTTTTTTCTTTGTTCTTCATTTGCTATCAAACAATCAGTCTATGCCTCTAAGCTAACCTTGCTTAAGTCTGTCTGGGGACATTTAAAAAATGTACAATGCCCTTTGTGTCACTTGAAAATCATAATAAAATATAAAATGGAAATTGGAAATTCTGGTGATAACCTGATCGGAAACCCTGACAGCCGTTAAAGGGAAGGCAACTGTCAGGGAAGAAAATGAGATTTCCAGTTTTATGGTCCACACTGAACTAATCATAATAATGTCATAAAATACTGTTATCAAACATCTCTAAGACAGGGTAAAAAGTTCATACCACTGATAACACTTTTATTGTTTTGATTTTAATAAGTCCTGTGTTGTATTTCATTGATTTCCCCAATTTCACAAATGAAAAAATCGAATGTCTGGGGAAATTACGGCTACATTATTCCAATAAGTTTTTATATGATATAAACTTAAGTTGATTTTTGTCTTCAAGGTACTATAATTCTGGCTCTAATTAAAAGAATCACAATAACACACATAGTTCACGTTATATCATGTTAGAAAGGGCAAAATTGATCTGTTTTTGTAGATATTATGGTTTTGTGATTGATACGCCCCTATATGATACATAATAAAAATGAATAGAAATATATGGTATGTATGAGTACATGTATCCTATGAACATGATATATAACATAACGGTTGATATAATATACCTCATATGCACCAGGCCCGGGAACGTCTGATTTAAGTCCTTGTCGGAACCTTTGGTCTTTCGTTACCATCATATTACCACGCTTTTCTCGGAGACCTTGATTATATGTGCCTGGTCCTGAAAATATATCAATACAATCTGTTTATTTTCTTATATTATATATACATTTTGATAGAGGCTCATAGAGAATACTGGGCTTGCCTAACTATGTTGCCTCTTTAATATAAAATCTTTATTATTATTATCATTTTTTCAAGCAATTCAAGGCATTAAGAATAAAACAAAAATGTAATTTGATGCGCAATAAAAAAAAATCAAATGATAATGGTAAATTAAATAATATATTCAAGTCACATCTCATATTAATCATTCATATCAACCTCCATTATAGATGAGTTGATTATTATAAATCTTTCTTGTTTCTTTTTTCCCTCTCCCCACATCCAGTGTTTTAGTATTTTCTATACCTGAATAATCTCAATTAACATTGCATTAGCGTTACCTGCTAAAGGTGTGCATGTCTTATTCATGTAACTGTTTTTAGATCATTTTGACACTGATTATCATCACAGATTCTGTAATGAAATACATAGAGGATATTCAAGTTTTTTCTATAAATACATGATTTATTTTCATCGAGTGGTATGAAAATAAATATTTCATGAGTGGCGGTAGCCACGAGTGAAATATGGTAATTTGCATGCCACAAGATGAAAATAAATCATGTCTTTATAGAAAAAACTTGAATTTTCTGTTTATTATATACATTTTTCTCTTTTTTGACAAAATTTTGAAAGAGTTTCCATTAAATTTTGTGTTCTGGCAGAATTTAAAAGAAAGTAGTCCGGCAAGACACCAGTGAAAATACGGAAAATATGTTTCACTGCAGTGAAAAATAAATTTTTACAGTGAAAATACGGAAAATGAAAATACGCATTTTATTTCATCAATATTTCTCAATATTTCATTTATAAGTATATAATAAATTGTTTTACTGTTTGTTTTTTGTAAGTTTTTTTGTAAGCTTTTAACAAGCAAAACATCGCCTGTATCATTATTGCATTTTAATTAATTAGTAAAAAAAAATGAAATAAAAAAAGCAAATAAAACTGATGCTTCAAGTTAGCGGAGGGAATTCAATACCAGCTGGCTAATGCTGGTTACAGGTAAAACAGAGTGTTAGAGCTCTATGTGACTGGTACCAGATCTGATTACATGGTTTGGAATTATACTAAAAGTGATTTGCATGAAATTATACAGGTCAGTTTCATGCATGTCAAGTCTCCATTACATCACAATGTTCTCGTGCACAGATGCTATATCAATATTGTATGCTTTATTTTCAATGAGACTGAATAACTGATAAGTGATAATTACTGATAAACATTGAAGATAATTTTACAGCAATTTCCTTATGAAGGGTTAGTATGACATTAACAACATTGCACTTCCGTTCAACATTCTTCCTCTCACATGAAATAGCCTATTATTTAAACACTTTCATACTTTCAAACCTATTTTTTATGAAAATGTAATATTTCATTTATATAGGGTCATGGACAGTGGCCTGGTGTAATAGTAAAATAAGGGAAGGGGCTTAAATTTAATGCAATTAAGGGGCTCAAAGAGTTGCATAAATCACATAAAAGTTGCAACTTGTAAAATTATAAGTACTGATTAACTCTGCAAACCAATTTCAATCTGTTTGCAACTATATTTTCCTGCATATTCCTGATCTGATTATAATGCAAATGTCTTCATCTTTGTATTTTATAAACCACCTATATATCCTATGGAAAGAAACCACATATAATGTTGCCATTACAAAAGCATTATGTTTTACAATGTAATAAACAATGCTTGTTTGCATTGACTTCATTTGAAATGGTTACCTTGCAAAGAGGTTAACTGCCATGATAATTTATGATGAGCTGTCATACATAGTGTATGTGTTTTATATTTAAATTAATGCAAAATACATATATTCAACTGCTTAATGCAATGAACAACTGCAATTAAGAGACTGTGCATTAACAATGCATACAAATTAATGCATGCAGATCTATAAATTACAGTCAAGTTCTTAGAATCTAGTGATTTATTTGAAGAATTATTGTAATCAGGAAAAAACATTCATACACATATTAAAATAATTGTCCTCAAAATGCTTCAAAACATTTTTTTTCACAGCATTTTTTTATACTTTCACAGAATTTTTTTTTATACCTTGCCTTTTGCCATAAGTAGGATTTTCGTATCATCTCATTAAAAGGTAGCAGCAACTTTCATTGATTACAAAAATATTGTATAAAAGCTCGGGTGTATTGGTACATTATTAAATTGGTGAAATGTTATTGATAATTGCTGATAATAGTCTGAGGGAAATGGTACACACATCTTTGTTTCACACAGAAAGTGTAATCTTACACTAATTGATACATTTTCCATTTTTTACACAATATAAGATTTAATCAATATACTGAATGTTTTAAAAGTTTTAAAGCTTTCATGTGAAACAACCCAAAAAAAGTCATAATTATGTGAACACTTTTAACACGTTATATTTTATTTAGTTTTATTTCAGTCTGATAATGGATTACTTTGAAGTTTTTGAGATGTATTTTATCGTGACAGGGCTCGGCATAGACTGTAACTATATAAGTTTACCATTATACTGCTGATCATGAAGATAGTTGAAACAGAAAATATTTAAAGTGCTTGGGAATTTTCACTTTTTACACACTTAAAATGTTTTACAATCTTATTTGTTTTATGTTACCAAAATTAATACAAATACATAATACAAATATTTCTATTCAGTATTTTTTGTTGTGTGTTATTTAAAGCACAGCATGCACCTTTACTGAATAGATTTTCTCTAAACACTGCATAACTGCGGCAACATAGATTACCCATGCAATAATTTCAGACCAGGATCTGCTGCCACACCCATGCCATTTGTTCATGATCATGCTGCACTGTTTGCTATTCAGTCAATACTATATATTTTGAAATATTCACTAAAAACAATGAATTGCTTAGCCCATATTGAAAAATGGACAATTAAGGGTGGTAAAGGCATTGGAGGGCTTGGGGTAGATTTGCTTAAGATTCAACAGTGATTCGTGAGTGAGAATTGCAGTGAGGTGTGCTGCAGGCATTGTATTGCCCAGATTACAGTACTACTTTCCAGATTTCAAATAAACTGAACCCAGTACCAAGAACTAATAATAAGAAACTAATCATTCTAAACATTAACAAGTATACAATCATGGATATTTTAATACATTCAAGATGCAGTAAGATGTGTAGATAAGTACATTTCATACAATGCTCAGAATGTTACACCTTGTTACAGAACATTTACGGTAAAACAAGTCTATTCTCTAATTATATCTGATATAAAAATCCCAGTTTATCATATCTAACTAATTGGTCCACTGCATGCTAGTCCACCCCAATCAACTTGAAGTGTGCCTCATCCACCTTATCTATATCCTGATTGTCAGAAGCTGTTTGTTCATTGAGATAATCTATACTCCATCTCTACGCATATATCCACTGTTTAGAAACCCTCTCTCATTGCTTCTGTCATTTGACTAATTGCTTAATTGAATTAATCAGTCAATTTGTGTTGTTTTTTATGTTTGTGTGTTTTCAATTTCAGCATATTAAAATGACCATGGTCAGTACACATGCTGATTTTTATAACATTATGATTCCCTTAGTAAGAAATAATTTATGACTTTCATCTTATGACACTATATTATATAATATAGTAATACATCTTTTATTCTATTATTTTAATAGTCTCAGTCTGAAATACTAATTGCGCTATCCAAGTGCATTCTTTGATACACCTGAAAATCTCTTTCAGATCTATCTAAATATTTCCATCTTTCACTGATGAAACTTTTATCTCAAACAATGACATTTAATTATGATAAAAGTAATGATTTAAGGACAGAAATATCATGGCATTATAAAGTTGTGAAGTACATTCTGAAATGGTGGCACTGAAAATGATCATTGTGAATAATCTGTTTGACAGTTTCATTAAATTTCCAGTACATTTAAATTAATTGGATATGAATTTGAGTAATCAAGTAACATGGAAATGTTCATTGTCACTGTAATTCATGTATATATTATGTGTACTGTTTTTGTTTGTCACATTGATTCAAATGGAATTTTAAAAATACTAAACTTATCAAACTTAATTACTAACTAGCAATTGCTAATTATATACTTGGTTGCTTTAAGCCAACTTCACTTACATATTTTTCATATTATCAAAGTACACCTGATGCCAATAGAATCTTAAATACCCAAACTGATGCCTCTCAATTAATTAAACAAACATTCTCACATGTATTTCCTATGTTCAACAATGCAAACAAACAAAGAAATAAAATTGTTCTTGTATCCACATACACCCAATATATCTTTCACTTTGGTATTTGCATGAAGAAACAAGATGGAATAAAAACCTGCAGAATGCATAATGGAGCAAATTCTTGCAGGGAAGATAACTATTGTTTATGCTAATTGGAAGTTTAATTGACTGGAACTTTACTCTATACATCAATTCACTGAGAAAATGTGAAACACAACTTCTGGAAAAAAAATGTATTGGCAACACTGTACAGCAAAATAAAATAAAGGAGCACTTTTGTCTGTTTGTATGTTCAAAAGACCATTTTTTTCATTGTGTATGGAGAAGAAAATGATTTACTAAAACCAATCAATATTGCCTCAATGTTGAAATATCTATAGCATTTTAAATATATTGTGTATTTATTACCTGTAATATTACAAAGAATAAAAATAATATCTGAACACTTTCTTTTTCAAAGTTTAAACATCTGATAAATTTGTTTGATATTGAATGTATTTTTTTGTCCTCAATATCCATTAATTAATTCATTTAAGTGGAAAATGATGCCATTAATTGATCAGCACTCCTTTGTCCTAACCTGCAATCATTTCAGAATCAATTACTTTTTCATTTGCATTTTTTATGAGCGTTTTAATTTCCAATAATAACAACAGTGATAGGCTTTCACCTTAGCTGACACCACAAAGTCTCCCAGCATCTAATAAAATTGCTGCCATTG